GGTGAATGATGGCACACATATGTATTTATTAAAACGCTATGGTGGGTTTGCAAAGAAAAATAACAAAGAACCATGCTGAATTTCCATAAACACCTTACTAGCTGAGAATGGGATTTTGTTTGCCTTTCAGATGGTGTTTAAAAATTAAAGCTGCGACTTGTTACAAGGGTATTTTGTTTTTAGCTCAGAGCCATGCCCAGGTAACCTTGATCAAATAGACTCCAAGGGTATTTTTTAATGGCATAAAATATGTAGAGAGCAAGGAATTTTCCCGTGACAAGGCACATGCAAAGCCATCTCCTTTTACTGATTAGGGGTCTGAGGCCCAGAGAGGTTGAATGGCTGTCCTGCAGCCACACAGCTGAACTGGAATTTGGACCTAGGACTCCCTGTAGCTCTTTCCATCCCTCCAGTTTGCTCCCAGATTAGCTGCTCCCATAGTTGCCAAACAGAGGATTGAGGGTGTGAGCGAGCCCCGTGCACGGTGATGTGTGGCCCACGGTCACACCAGATGGTACCACTCAGGGTAACTCGGACATTTACCTGCATTCGTTCGGGGGACTGTCTCCAAGGACGAAAATGAACCCATGTAGAAAAAAATGATGACTTTCCTTAGCAGTGGAGATCCTCCTGCAGAGGGAGCTGCTTTGAAAGGGCCCAAGGGAGAGGGGCCTGGCTCCCCAGGGAGGGAGTGGCTGCTGAATGGCCTTCCAGTGATGGTGGCCTGGTTAATGGCTTCTGATACGCTGAGCACTGAAACCTCGTCTGGGGCTGGTGTGCCAGCAGAACTGCTGGGACCAGTAAAAGACACATGAGTGGTGGCTGGGAAGACAGGGGCCAAAGAAAGACAACAGGGAGGGACAGAGATTGCTAAATTTGTCTACTGTGACCTCAGTCTTCCCCCCAAATCTTCACAACAAAGTGTCCCTGGGGGAAGGGGGACATCCCAGGTTCACCCCAACAGTCTAACAAAGGGACAGAGCCACAAGACAATTTTTCTGATTCAAAGATCCTCGAATGAAGTGGATCTGAATGGCAGGTACAAGGACAGCAGGGCCCTGGCTCTCTTTAATGAGCCGGGGCTGAGCAATGAGGTCACACCTGCACCCTCCAGCTCCAGCAGGGTGCTGGGGGCCCTCGGGTGGCCCGGCTCTGACACAGCTGCATGCTGCGTGGCGTAGGAGAGAACACTCCATCCTAGTTATGTAAATCAAAGCCCAACCGTCAACAGTACACACTGGAAACGAGAATTAGTCAGCTGTGCGGGTGTGAATTTCAGTGGAGCCTCAAGTCCTCCCTCTGTGGGGGAGTGGCTCCGTTCTGTGACAGGAGGGAAGGTAAACGCTTCCTCAGAAAGCTCCCACGCCTCCCCAGGGAGAACGAAGAGACAAAAGGCAGCAAGTGAGTGCTGTGCATGGTGGCTGTCACCCGCCCAGAGGAGCACTCTCAGGGCCGGGTGCTTAAGGGATGCTAATCACTCTACCTCCCTGAGCAAACGTGTTTAATCCTCCCCGAAGCCTGTGAGGAAGGGAGGTGGCTGTCTGGCTTTCACCAGCATGCAGACACCGCCCCAGGTTGGTCTCGGTTCCGTCACCATCTGTAAGATGGCCGAGCGCTCTGACGGTCCCCGAGGCTCGCTGGGAGCCAGGCAGCCAGGGCCAGTGCCAGGGGTCTCCTGCCTGCCCTCCCTGCAGTCCCGGGCAGCCTGCAGACGCCCTGCATGACACACCCGGCAACAGCACACCCCCCACGTCCCCCCAGTGTGTGTTCCCTGAGTGGAGGGGCGGCCCCTCAGGTCTGAGAGTGGCATGATACACGTGAACATGGTACACTTGCTACGGCAAACCTGGACAGGCCAAGGCAGAAAACACTTGATTAGCCTGACAGCCAATGTCACAGAGGTGCCCGGTGTGGGGAGCTCAGGGTGCAGTGGGCGGTGCCAGGGCCGGGCTGAGGGCTGGGGAGGCTGGGAGCAAAGAAGCAAACCCAGGAACCCCTGTGATCACTCCTGAAAGGGGGCAGAGCAGGGAGGAAGGGGAGGAAGGGTGAAGCCAGAGGAAAGACCTTCTGCCAGGGACTCTGGCCCACTTTGGAAGACATGGAAGCTTCCAGATTGCTGGCTGCATGAGGTGCAGCTGGAGCTCCCAGGCACTTGGGATGCTCTGGGCTGCCTTGGGAAACAAGGGTTGGGGTGGTGGGAGGCAGACCTCAGGCAGCCCAGGGGTTGGGGACCGCAGCATTCCATTCTCAGAAGCTCATTCACAATCCATAGTTTCCTGCAGCCTAAGGTGGTGTTTCCAGGCCTGGGTTTCAGAAATGGTGACAGATTTTGCATGGAAAAGGTTTCTGTAGGCAACTCTGGGTTAAACTGGAGGATTCTTTCCTGCAGGACTTAGAGCGTTTTCTGTGCTGACATGCGTCGTGGATGTCTAACAGGGGACTCTGTGGTACCTCTAGTTTGGGTCTGGGCACACCTGGGTCTGGTGTTCCCAGATGCACGTGGCCTCAGGCTCTGGAGGGACCTCAGTGGAGGCCTGAAGGGAGAGGGGATGCCTCAGTGGCTTACAGTGACTCTGAGCTCCTCACAGATTTTTACTTAAGCCGGTGACTTCTCTACTCTCAGGCCAACAGAACAAAGAGACCAAATGCTTCATGACCCTCCTGGCCAGAGCCCTCCCCAGAATCACAGGGCTGTCTCTGCCTGGCACAGTTCCCTCCCAAGGATCTCCCCTTGCATCCTGCCACAGCCTGAGGGGTGGGCTGCCCAGGGTCACGCAGCTCCTGGGCACAGCATTTGCCCCAAGGAAGGTCTGTCTCCAGGCTGTGTTGGTGATTCAGTCGCCATGGTGTGCTCTGGCTAGGGCTTGGCTTGGGACAACCACAAGCACAATCCAGCCCAGCGGTGCCTCTCAGCCCTGGCAGGACAGCTCACCCATCACCGATTCCCTCCCTGTCCCATGTCCCCATCCAGCCTTGCCGGATGCTGCTACTGGGACAGCCTCCCCCACCTCTGGCTTCACGTCTCCCCCACAGTGTCTTCTCTGGCACTCCAGGGGGCAATGTCCTTTGGGTAAAGACCCTAGCCCATTCCCTGCCCTTCCTCCCTCCCCCTGGCCTAGTTTGAGGCCTTTGCCCCTCAGAGTGGGGGAACCAGGCAAGTGCCCTTTCTGTCCCTGGGCTAAAGATGAGGGATACGGAAGAGCAAGGAATCCAAGAGAACAAGATTCCGGGCCCAGACCTACTCGGTAGGTGGGATGGCCCCAGCAAGCCCCAGGGAGGGGCCCAGACATGCTGGCCCTGGGGCCCCTGTCATCATGTGGCCAGTCCTTAAGCTCTCTAAGCCCTCTATGGCATATGCCACCCAGACTCTGAGGTCCTTGACCCCATCACTCAGGCCCTGGGCCCCTTCTCCCCTTCTCCCAAGGAAGTTGTCTGGTGACTCCACTCAGACATAGAGACTCATGAGGTCTGGAGCCTGTGTCTGGGGCTCAAGTGTCCCCCAGAATCCTGTATTCACACAGCCGTGGGGCTGCTTGCCCAGCATGGAGGCTGGTGGGTGAGGCAGGACCTGCCTGCAGGAGTTCTCCCAGGACTGGCTGCAGAAGGCATCTCCAGTAGCCCTGGGCCCTGCACCTGCGTGCGAGATGCTTCTCTTTGCAAGTGGTCGATGCACCCCTAATGGAGGCCCCTGGACAAGGCTCTCCACCTCTTAGAGTCTCCCTCAGCTTCGAAGGGGGCCAGGACCCCTGCTTCACAGGACCGGGGAAAGGATTGACTGGGTTGTGTGGAGTCTCTTGGACCCTTGTTCTTAAAGTGTGCTCCGACCACAGGGCTGCAAACTGTTACCTGCCGGCCATAACCAGAGGGCGCAGAAAGGGAGAGCTGTGTTCAGACATGATTTTAGCAACTTGAAGGAACCAATGAATGTCTGTTGAACTTAATAATTAAAGAAAAGAACCCTAGGGCTTGGATTTTGTATGTCACTTTTAAATTTCATTTTTTAGCAATTCATTTTTATTGCATTGTATGAAAGTACTGTTCTTCAATGGATTGAAACTTTAGCAAGACTTCAAGGCCCTTCATCACAGATTTTAGATTTTATTCCATGTGTGCTGTGAAGACAGAGAGAGAGATGGGTGAGGGCTTGATGGGGTCTGATCCTTTAAGGCCTTTGTTGAGGAGTGGGGAACAAAGTGGGCTGCCTCCTTCTCTGGGACTGGAATTGTTTTGGACTCACACACAGAATTCTGCATTCAGGTGCGTTCCAAACACAGGCTATGCGAGTGTGCACAAACTTCCCTAGTTTCCAGCAACACCCTCTGAGAAGTGGGGGTAGTGTGATCTCAAGGGGAGCCAGGTGTTGTCCTCACACTTGGGGGGAAGTGACAGCCCCCATCCCTAGAACCGCTCCAGTTCCACCTGCCTGCTGCTGCAGCTGCTCCCAGGGGTGGTGGGGCTGCAGAGGGGGAGCTTGGTGGATGAGACCCCTGCCTGCACCTCCAGGGCGAGCAGAGCATGCACCAACAGAGCAAACTCAAATCACTGAGGGGGTTTGCAGCAGCCCTTCTCCGCACTGCTTTCTAACGTGTCTGCACCTTGGCAGGGCTCAGGAGAAAGGCAGCGCAGCCTCGGGCGGGCAGCCCTGACTCGGACCCGTGGGTTCACCCTCAATCTCCCTAGGGTTCGCTTTGAAAGTATCAAGATATTTTAAAATTGTGAAAACATTCCTTTGATTTCAAAATCACAGACAAGACTAATATAACAGACACCTAAGACCCACAATCTTGTTTTATAGATATTGTGACTTTCCATATTGACTTATATTTTTTCTTTCTTAAAAAGAAGGAAGGAAGAAGGGAGAGAGAGAGAAAGAGAGAGAGAGTAGGAACATTATAGATACAACTAATTGCCTCTACCCTGAAGTCATATATGTATTTACTTAAGATTTCCTTATATGTTTTAGATTTTCTATAAATAGAGTGTTTTGGGGCTTATTTTTTTTTATTTGACGGTATGTTCTGAGATTTATCCATGTTGATACAGGTGGCTTGGTTCATCTGATTTAGGTGCTGAAGAGTATCCATTGTTTGAATAAACAGAAGCTTACCTATGCCCTTATAGACAGACTGTTTGTTGTTTCTGGCTTTCTATAGCATGCAATGTGGACACGGGCAGTTTTGCACATTGCCTTGTGCACAAGTGCTGGAATTTTTCTAAGGCAGACTCTAGGGCATAACTCCTGGGCTGTGCTATTATTTAATTTTATGTAGGGCCTTGACCTTCAACTCCAAACTTTATCAGTATCTTTTAGCAAAATAAAATGAGGACAAGAATGAAAGTGCCAGACAAGAATCACATTTTCCATCTCCCACATGAAAACTCAGAGGCTTTTTCTGGAAAAGGGACTGTTTTTGCCAGCGGGGACTCCCAGGAGCAGGCTGTTGAGGGCTGGATCTCCAGGGTCCCTGATTCCTGAGATGCCTCTGTACCCCACGCTGTGCATCCCTGTTGGTCTAATACTGAAGGAAGAGCTTCAGAGTCAGGAAGAGCCAACCAGCAGAGGACAAAAGCTCAAATCTACCCTTTGCAAATAGAGGGCCAGATGAGATGACCTGTGGGAGAGACTTGTACATAGTGTAGTGTGTGTTTGTTTTTCCCACGGGGCAGCTGGTGTGTTTCAGCAAACACTGGGAAGAGGGGTGCGGTTTTGGTTAGGAAACAGGGAACTGGCACCGAGCTACTGATGTCAAACAAGGGCTAAGTATGCAAGAAAACAGAATGAAAACAGTCCATGCCCATGTGATTTTGTGGATGTTTCCTTAAAGAATGGCGTCCTTAAAGCCATAAGTACTGTCTTTCATTCTTCCATGAATAATTTTACTGCTTAGCTTGGGGCTGTTATGAATAGGCTTTGGGGCAAACTCTGCCATTAAGACTTTTAACTGCTACAAGTTTTTGTAGGAGTTTGAAGCTCACCACCTCTGGAAGTCGGGGAGGAGGGGCTCATCTTTGTTCTTAGACTTGGATAATTTATAGTGTGCAGTCCTGTAGCAATAGTTGTGAGTGTGTATAAATGAGGTGCTGTTTTTATCTTGAGCAAAGTCTAAGTGCTTCTCCCCTCCTCCCCTTCCGTCGAGTTCCCTGTTCCCGTTGCGATTCTGGGCACTGTGCATACGCCAGTGTACCAGGCCCAGGTCAATAGGAGACATCAGATTCAAGAACAACAAAAGCTGGATCCTTGGCAGAGCTGATCGGCAGGAGCAGCGTGGGACAGCCAGTGTTGGGGGAGGAGGGGTCACGTGGAACCACGTGGCGTGGCCGCGGGCTACACAGCGAGCATCATGTGAGTCTCTCGTTCCTGCCAAATGCAGCGGTGCATTTGTGAATGTTAATTTACACAAGAAGACGGGTGCTTGCTATCTCTAAAAATAATGCTGACTCTCACATATGCACACAAAAGCAGATAGATGTGCCTCCTCCCTACTGAGCCCCCAAAGGATGGATTTTTCCTATTCTTGAAGTGGAGGCGAGCTTTAACTCTTTGTTTAAAAAGAAAGTCTTTTAGTTTTCCATTTGCATTTTCAGGCTCATGGGACGTTAGACTTGCGGACACCTGGTCTGACATCTGCCCCACCTCATTTTATGGACAGGAGACTGTGGCTTGGAGAGCTGTGTGCCAATGGGAAGCTTCTCACATGGGGACCCTGTTTCTAGCCCAGGCAAATCATCTTTCCTAGGATATTCACCTGGCTCCTGCTGCTGCACTGGCTCCGTCCCCAGCTCTGGAGCCCTGGCTGGCACGTCATGGGTGCTCAGTGAGTGCACACTGGAGGGACGAGTCCTCTCTGGCCCACACAGGGCCTGCACCTGCTCCCCCATTCTGCGCACGGTGGGCAGTACACCGGAGGGAGCAGAGATGCCTCCTAGGCCCTCGGGGCTCACCCCTCAGGTCTCCAGAAACCTCCAGAATGGCCCTCCCACTCCACCTGAGGGGCAGTCAGGGACGCAGGGCAAGGTTGTGTCCTGGCCCAGCCTCCATTGCTCAAATGGTCATTTAAGGCAGCTGTGAGTGCTCAGGGCCACCGTTTCAAGGGCTGGCTTATAGTCATCTAGGAAAAGCACACCTAAGATGTAAATTGGCAGGTGCCGTTGCCAGGTGCTGTCAGGGGGCCGTGGAAGAAGCCGCTCCCCACAGCCAGCCCTGAGTCCTGGGAGCCACTCCCCTTCCCAGGTTCTCACTTAGTGTCACCCTGGCCCTCCCTCTCGTTAGAGGCTTGGGCTGTCTCCTTTCTTCTGCCAGACCCCATGCCCCGAGGGCAAGGCCCACCTGAGTTGTCCCTGGATCCCCCAGAGCCCACACAGTGCTCCCACAAACATCTGACACAGAACAAAGGGTGAGCTCAGGCCAGCCGCAGAGAGCCCAGGTGCCACCCTCGTGCGGAAAGTGAGCAATGCGAAACTCCACGGCTGCTGACTGAGGAGTGGCGCTTGGCGTTGCCCTGCAGTGTGCCAAAGGATTCGCACCCACTGGACACCTCCCATGCCAACTCCCACGGGCCACGTGAGGGGAGCAACCAGACGACAGGCATGACACACAGTGGCGGGAAACGTGGAGCCACCTCCCGAGAAGGGGGCCTGACACGGGAGCTCTGAACACCCATCCCCACACACACCCCGACACAGCCTGGAGGACAGGGGCTTGGGGGTCCAGCTGTCTGAGACAACAGCGCTGGGAACCAGCATCCCTCTGTCCTTCCGTCCATCTGCTCGCAGGCAGCCAGCAAAGCTCACTCACCTTCTGGGACCCCGATGTGGCGCTCTTGAGCGAGCCCCGCTTGAAGGAGCTCATCTTCCTCAGGGAGCCCATGGGCCGCCCTCTTGCATCCCTCGCGTGGCCAGGCCTGCTGCATGGGGGCCACCCTGTCCCTGGGGGGCAGAAGCAGAGCCACTCACACAGCAGCAGGTCCACCGAGCTGGGCCAGCGGGCCCAGAGCCCGGGGCGAGGCCGGCCGGCACCTGGGTCAGCCCAGGAGGAGCCTGTGCCGGTTGCCCCCGGCCTTGCCAGCCTGACTCCGACTCCCGCCCCCCGGGTGCTTCAGGGCTCTCCTATAACATCTGTAATCGGGCTTAATCCCTCCATCCCGAAGGTTTATAGGGGACAGATTTAGCAAATGGCGATTGACAGTAAATCCACTTTGAGAAAGTGGTGGCTGCAAAGGGTGGCCAAATGAGAAGGATTGGGGTGTCCAGAAAGGCACAACATGGGAGGGAGCAGACAGCCCCCGACTGCTGGTGTCAGAGCCCCCCTGGGCACAGCGTCCAGACTCCCAGAGGCCCGGCACCCACCTCAGGTCTCAGAGCAGGATCAGCAGCCAGGCCCGAGCCCCGTGGGTCCTGGCTCTCTAAGCCACGAGTGTGCATTTTCTCCCCTGTCAATCTGGCCGTGAGACAGTGTGCCTTTTTACATATATGCTGTGTCTGGCGGCCCATCCTATCTGTGCTGCTCTGTGTGGGGCTCTCTCTCTGTCATTTCTGGTTTCAGGGGTACCTGCCACGCCCCTCTTGAGGGCAGGCAGGGTCATGGGTCTTTGCAGACCTGAAGCCGCCCTTGGTGCCAACTCCTCTCTCTCTCCTGCGGGCACATGTGTGTCATCTCCAAGGTGCAGGGAGCGGACTGAGGCTCAGAGAGGAAAGGCCATGCATTCCCATTGTCATTGATGTACTGTTTAAGGGCAGACAGACTGAAAATAAAGTAAAAGAGAGCAACGGGGCCCACATAGCTGTAGGGCCAGGCCTTCCGTATCAGTGTCCAGCCTCTTGCCCCAAGAGGCCCGCTCGGCCATGGAGGCTCGAAGGGTGGAGGCACAACCCCTGTCTTTTGGGGTCTGGCTTAGTGTCTTGGGGAGTCCCACCTCTCCAACACATCCCGGTCGGCTGTGGGGCGGGCTTTCTGCTCCCCAACCTGCACCTCTTAGCACTCTTGAAATTGTTCAACTGAAATTTTTTGAGCTTCTACTATGGGCTGTGCATTGCATATATCAGGTGCTAGGGACATAGCAGTGACAATCCCTGCCCTCCTGGAGCTGACCTGATCGGGGGAGCCAGATGCCTTAAGCAATAAAATACACAGCATGCCGGACGGTAGGTATGTGCAGGGACGAGAAGAAAGCAGGGAGAAGGGGCTGGCTAGGGCCAGCAGCAATGTTAAATAGGACAGGTTGCCGGGGACATGACCTTTGAACAAAGATCAGGGCAGGTGGGTGGTGGAGGAGCATGCTGGACAGGGATTGGGAGGAGGATTTCCAGGCAAAGAGAACAGCCAGGGCAAGGGCCTTGACTTGGGGGCATGCCCGGCGTGTTCCAGGAAAACCAGAAGGCATAGGTGGCTGGAAGGGAGGGCCTGTGGGGATGAGGGCAGGCTTGCCATGGGGCAACTGCGCAGGCCCTGGAAGCCATTCTAAGGGCCTTGGGTTTTGTTTCCAATTCATGATCTGATTTGCAGTTTAAAGGCACCGCTGGAGTTCCTGGGGTGGACTAGCCAGAGGGGCCAGGGCAGAAGCGGGGAGCCCAGTGCTGGGAAAGTGACAGCTTGGAGGGAGGTGGGCAGTGGAGTGGTGGGTGGTGGGTGGTCTGACCCAGGAGAGAGTTTGAGGATGGAGCCAAGAGGCTATGCTGAAAGGATGGGATGTGGGGTGTGAAGGGAAGACAGAAGTCAGGGAACTACAAGGCTTTGGGTGGGGGCTGCTGGAAGGAGGTGGGGAGGGGTCACCTCCAGTGAGATGGACAAAGCTATGGTAGGTGGGTGTGGAGGGGGTCCATGCCTTCCCTGTTGCTGAACCTAATAGCATTTTCTACCCTAATCTTCCAAGGCCTTGCAGAGGATTGGATGCTGTGTCGCCTTATCATCCTGCGGCCTGGTCTGTGTCCTTGTCCTCAGGCAAATACTCAGCACCCTGCATGCTCTGGCCTCTTCACACAGAGCCTCAGGGGATGGAGCAGCTCGAGCTGCTCCATCCCCTGAGGCTCTGTGCGAATCTTCCGCATTCCTCACTGAGAGCCTGGGCGACCTCACGCTGGCCTTCAGCTCCTATGACCGTCTAATAGTTCCTTCATGGCACCCTCCAGCCCTGAGTAGCTCAGCGCTCTGTGACTTGTACCTGAGCCCTGTGCCTGACTTCCAAGCTGTGTCCCATCTGCATAGCTCTGAGACACGTGCCTCAGGCTCAGCACACACCCCCACAGACACCTGTTTCTGCTGCAGTGATGGGTACTCCATCAGCAAGATAGGAAGCAGGAGGCCTAGGAGTCTCCAAGATGCCTTCCCCTATCCCTACCCTAGGGAACCCCCAACCAGCTTTACTTCGTGCTGCTCAAGAGGAAGCCGATACACTGAGACAGCAGGATTTACAGCAGAGAAAGAGTTCAATTCCACGTAGCACTAAGCGGGGAGACCAGAGAAATTTCTCAAATCCACCTCCCTGAGAATTTGGAAGACATGGTTTTTAAGGATAGTTTGGCAGGACAAAGGATCAGGCAGTTGGGTTTGCTAGTTGGCTGGGTTCGGGCGGCCTGGGTGGGCCAGGCAATCCGCCGGAATGCAGGACCTGGAAGGTACATCTTGAGAACTACCTTTAGGTTCTGAAAGGGTGATGTTATCTACAGAGAAAGCTAAGAATCTTTATGACCCCCAGCTGGGTGATCCCAGAGTGGCAATTATAGAGAAACAAACAAGGGGACAGTGGCTCATTCTTATTATTATTTTTAGCTAGGCTTTTGCTTCAGTCCTCGCCTTGCACCCCTTTATTTGTAAAGGTAGATTTCATAGCGGCCTCTGTACTGTGGTCTCCCAGATAAGAAGTCACTTCCATCGACACTCACATGAAAAAGAGTAATCTCTTAAAAATGCAGATCTGGTCATGTCATGCTTCTGTTTAAAGCCCCTCAGGGCCCACGACTGACCCGAGTCCTCCCCTGCCCCTCCACAGAGCTGGTCCTTGCTGGCTTTGCTCCACGCCCCACCTGCCGCATGGTTAACCCGTGCCTCCTCTGGGCCTCCTTGGGGCCTGCCCTGGGTCTGCTGGTCTCAGTTCTATCTTTTCTTCAAGTTTTAGAACATAGATAAAGTGTGGACACGTTCCCAACTTATATGAAGCTAGCACAATCCTAACACAATCCTAACACCAAATCAGACCAGGAGAAGCACCTTAGGCCAGTTCACTAGTAAAAATAGACATAAAACTCATAAAGAAAACAGTAACAAATAGAATCTAGTGCAGTTCTAAAAGTACAATACCCCATGATTCAGCACAGGCACATGCTATGCTCAGGAATGCAAGGATGACTCAATACTAGAACATCCATTCATGTAATTAAGCATATTAACAGATTAACAAAGCAATGCCCTATGATCATCTCAGTAGCTGCCCAAACCATATGGTCCATTTTAGTAGGGCCAAAAAAAAAAAAAAAAAAAAAAAACCCAAAACACATTTGACAATATTTAGCACCCATTCCTCATTAAAACAGAAACAAGCAAACAATAACTCATAGCAACCTGAGAAGATACATCCTGTGGACGTCAAGCTGATTGGTGAGATATTAGAAAGATTCACATAAATATTAAGGCATCTCAAAAGATGCCCACTGTCTTCATAATTATTCAACATTTGTCTGGAGATTCTAACCAAGGCAGAAGTATAGTAAGACAAGAAAAAGAGAGAAGTAGTGTAAATATTGGAAAGGAATAGAAAAAAATCATCTGCCCATAAAAACCCAGGAAAACTAGCAAGCAAGCTATTAGAATTAACAAGAGGGTTCTGCAAGATTGGCAGATACTAAGGCAACAGAGAATAAAATAATAGGTTTCCTATCCTGAAGCATATTCAATTAGAAAATAATTTCCCTCAAATTGCAAAAGAAACAATAAAACACCTGTAATAAGTCTAGCAAAAAGCGTGTAAGATCTATGTGAGGAAAATGATAAAATTCTACTGAAGAATGTAAAAGAAGACCATGATGAAATATATGTCCTCATTGATTACTACAATACTTTTTGGAAATCAATCTAGCAATATCTATTAAAATAAAATGCACATACTCTTTGACTAGCAATCCATCTCTTGGGAATCTATCTCATAAAAATTAAAGCTGTACCATGTAAAAATATATATTCAAGGATGTTAACTGCAGCACGATTGTAGTGGCAAAAAAAAAAAAAAAAAAACAACAGAAACAAGGCCAGTGGTTTCCAAAGGAGAAATAGTTGAATAAATCGTGGTACATGCACACCACGGAATAATAAACAATCATTTTTGAAAAGTTGGTTCCATACCAGTTGTCTCGGAAGGAATTCCATAATATATTGTTATAGAAAGCAAGATGCAAATAGGTATAGAAAGTTGTATATAGTATGATGTAATTTTTTTGTAAAACAAAACATATAAATATAGACGTCTATCCATATCTATATCTTTACATATATAGTTTTTGTTTTACAAAAAAATTCACCTATATATCAATCATCTATCTGTGGTATGAATGTTTATTGGAACATTGAGAAAAGTATGTATAGATAAATATTTAGTAAATCTATGTTTTAGTTCTAGTTTTAAATGTTTAGCAAAATGGTACAAATGTACCAAAAAGTTATGAGACCCACAATGAAAAATTCTAGTTTCTGACCCACTTTTTCCCCTTTCATTTCCTGCTCAATGAGATACTCATTTTCAGTTCACTTATCTGGTTCTTTGATATTTGCCTACACATTCTAAATAACATGCATTTAATATTATGTCTTAACTTTTCCATTTTAGATATTATTTATTCATTTTTTATTAAGGAAGATACAGAAATTGTACTTTGACCCTCACTATCCCCTCCAACCACACTTCCCTGCCTGGGGTGATATCACAGTTCTGGAGTAAATCAATATTTGTGTTTTCATTACTTTACCAGGAAATTATTTATTTATGATTTATATAGTGTTATTATAAATCATATGGTATAACTATAATTTCCTTTCAGCTTTTTGTTTGGCCTGAAGTTGATACTCACTGGATTTTTCCTTCATTTAATTAGTTTTATGTTTTTATTATTAATTTATCTCTAAACCTATGGCAGATCTGTAAAATTACTCTCAATATTGGCAGATTGGTGACATACACCTTCCACTTTATTTTCACTTTCTTCTTGAAAACAACCCTGCTTCTGCTTGGTTGCTCTCTAGGTGTGCTGCACAGCAGTAGTACTAGGACTTGTCTTGACCCTCTCCCTAGGATTTCCCTTCACCTCACTCGTGTGTAAGAGCCCCTCTTCCCTGGATCCCAGGTCTTCTTCGTTTGCATCCTCACTTGGTGCTCAACAGCTTTTTGATAAAGAATGTATGAAAAGTAAATTTGAGATCTTGCAAATCCGAAAATGCTTTTATTTTACCTTAATATCTGATGGATAGTTTGGCTGGATATAAAATGTCAGGCTGCAAATAATTTTTCTCAAATGTCAAAAGCATTCCTCCATTAAATTTAGCTCTCAATGTTCTATTGAGAAGTGTGAGGCCATTTTGATTCATGGTCTTTTAAATGTAAATAATTTTTTTCTCTCTAGAGATTATTGTTCTATTTCTTATATACTAAAATTTCAATATGATGCACCTGGTGTTTTAAAAAATCTATTGTGGTGGGTGCTTGATGTGTCCTTTCAACCTGGAAAATCACATTATTCAGTTCTAGGAA